GTGCCACTTGACAGATTTAGTGACATGCAAGAACAATGCTCTCCAATGCTAAAATCTGCCCATTTCACACACGGTGCTGTAAGTTTTGTTCTCAAAAATATCACCTGCACAGAGAATACTGAGGAGACTGAAGCTTTGCAAAAACTTAACAAAGTTAACAATGTCATTAATGGTGTTAAGGGACCCCAAACTAATACCATAACAGAAGGAATGAAAAAAATGGTTTGACATGAATTTAGGCAGCAGAAAACAAGCAAACAAAACATGAATCAGGTTTGCAGTGTGTCTGTTCCAGACTAGTCGTACATTCTGTTTATACCTAGGGGGAAAATGGTTGGTAAATGTTTAAGGTGTCATTTAAGAACAGTTCTGCTTGTACAAGTGGTTCTTGCATTAGGCCCATGTAAAGCTCACCACTAGAACATTTTATTGAACAGACAACATTTTGATTTGACAGCCTTCTTTCCCTTCTTAAAACTAACATATACCAAATTCTTGCCTCATGCTTTTCTTTTGGTAAGATACAGTTTCCAGCTTCTCCTTTTAAATCTCCAGTCAGTTCGTTTTATTTAGGTTATGTTTGTGGATGTACTTTATGTCTTCTCTTTGTAGAGCGATGGGTAGAGCAATAAAATAAAGCTTCTTCTTCTTCTTTTTGCTTTTTAATAGTTGCTGAGTTCCTCCTGTTGGTGTTGGGGGGGGGGATTTCAGGCAAAGGGCAGATGTGATGCATTTTACTCACTTTTGCCACAAATATATTAAATAATAGTAAAGTTTTTGTAATTAATATGTTTTGTATTGCCCTGTGTGAACATTGCATGGTGGCACCGTGGTACCCTCTACTGACAAGCTGCGACTATTGCAGGCAAGTGTGTGGTCCTGATGATTCATTCACCGTTTTGTGCGGGTGCATGTGAAACCGGCATGTACCTCATCTTCCCTGCATGCCTTTCCCTTTCTCCAGTGTGCTCTTGACTCAACGCTGCCTCTGCAGCCTAATCCTCTGATCAGCATGCCAAGGAAGAACAGAGGGGCCTGACTGGACTAGAAGACGACAGAGGCCTGAGGTGACGCCTGGCTCCAGCCACTTTCTCAGATTGTCTCAGCCACTTGTACTGTTCACCGGGCAGTTGTGGTATTAGGGAACCACAGCCCCCCTACCAATCCATCTGCTTCCCATCTATCCTACTACCATGACCCTCTCTTCTATATAGCTGAGAGCATAGAAGGAAACAATGAGGGAGAGTGACACGAGCATACATTTAGAAAAAGAAAAAATATATTTTATTCCAGGACAATGGATTAATCCTTCAAAAGACAGAATGCAAATGAGGGTTAAAAAAACTTGAATTCCACTTTCCCTGGTCTGATGTGTCAGGTTCAAGTTACTCACCAGACAAAGGCTAGGGTGAATAGAGTGACTTGAGAAACCAGGGGATTGAGGGGAGTTGCTTGGCACGCAAACAATTAGCACTCGTCCCTGCATAGCTTGCTGTGGCCCCAAATCCCCACATTTGTCCAGACAAATTGACTGGACCCCAGGTCTTGTTTGTCTAGCTCTGCTGGGCTGCTGGAGAGGGCTTGAGGGCAGCAGGGAATGCCCCCTCTGAAGAACACAGCTTCTGGGAACAGAGCAAAGGAGTTGTGCTCAGAAGATGAGCTGTACAACACATTTTTAAGACACACTGATAAAATAGATGGATCAATTCTGTGCTTGATCACTGTGGTTTGGCTGTGGAGCCCTAGGATCACAAACTATGAAGTAGAAAAACATGAAAATACTCAAGTTAAGTACAGATACCTCAAAACTGTTTGCATCTGTTTGGTTCTCCCATTTTAAGCAGTACTGCTTTAGACTGTGTTTCAGACACACAGGAGACACAGTTACTAACAGTAATAAGTAAAACAGCTGTCAGGAGTGGGATTTGAACCCACACTTTCATCTAGAAACCAGAATTCCCATTTTCCAAAAGGATTTAAAAGGATTTAAGCAGCTGTTGTCTTTGACCACTTATCCATCCTGACATGCAGGTGAGAAATAGGTCAATAGCTATTTGAATGCTGTTAATTCATTTGTGTTGAATTTGTGGCTAATAAAATGTCTTTATAATACAATACTAACTGATATAAGTTAGAGCAGGTAGTGTGCCACACAAAGTAAGATTAATACTGAAAACTGATAAAGCAATGCAGTGAGTTTTAACACTCAACACTGTGCATATCATGAATGACTGGTAAATGTAATATGCATCTAAACAAGGTTTTAGATACTTAATCAACAGATTTTGTTGGATCAAGTTATTGCTGGATTTAGGATTTAACTGTAACATTATCACAGCTTCATGTAAAGACCATGGTTGGTGGAGTTCAGCATCTGTAAAGGCCCACTGTCCCTATCAGCTATGGACATTCCAGCTCGTCTGACATCTGGTCAAGGATAACTAGAGAGAAGAGTTGATGACTGTCAGCAGACAGGGTGTTTAATATTATTATTATGACATGTATAACTGTAGCCTTAGCCATAATATGTTCTTTATGACCAGCTGTAAAGCTGGTAACAGAGACGTCTCGGTTGACGTTTCTGTGTAGTATGGGGCTAGCCCAACCGAGGGGATATAATGTATAGGCCTGGTGGGTTCAGGGTCTTTCATCTTACATCTGCCTGTGAGCAGGTTGTAGGTGCAAGATACCTGAGCGTGTAATGTTAATTTTACCTGTGATCCTTTGAATAAATCAGCACTGTTTTGAAGTTACTTGGACTGCCTCGTCTCTCAGAGTTAGCATGGTAAAAAGTACCGGAAGACTTCAACTGATAGACAATTCTTTAATCAGAGTGTAATGTTATGTTAGTTGTAGCAATTTTTATATGACTGCTGAGTATGGGGCAGTTGTGATATGTTGAGATTTGATATTTTCATGCTAAAAGTCAGGACAGTATAACAAGAAATTCGATCATTTAAAAATTACTTTTTTACCCTCAAAAGACCTTTTTTGATTACAAGTGCTACTCACAGCTGTTTTCCTGCTAGGTATGTACAGAATAAGTTGAGGTGCCCTCC